GAAACAGTTGCAGAAGAAAGAATCACATTTGCCTTGTTTACAGAGACATCCTGACCTGACCTACATGAACAGCTACAAAAACAAAGGATTTTCATGCCAAGAAGTTAACAACAACCCAACCATACCCCCTCCCCCTTTTAGTATAAAAGAAATACAAATTCTAAAATCGAGAAGGATGGTTCTTTGGGACTATAGTCAACCATCTCCTCAATCTACTGGCTTTCTGAACAAAGTCTGTATTCCTTGTCCCAACAACTAGTCTCAATTTATTGGCCTGCCAAGCAGCAAGCCACAGGAGCTTATACTCTGTAACAGTAGTAAATGGCTCCACTCACTTTTCAGAATGTGCAAGTGTTTCAGTAGAATACCTCTGTGCTATAGGAATCATATTAATCATAACAATAGCTGGTCCCTGAATTGATGAAAAGTTCAAGTAGAGACCTCAAGACCCTGCTCTAGAAAATTTTTTGAAAATGCAACCTATTCTACACTTTGTCCCCATGACAGTAAAGCAACATAAACAAAGCTTACCTACTCAACAGGATCTAGACTGGACATTGTATCCTACAGAAATCCCATTCTAGCTCCAGAATTCTACTTTTCTATTTGTTCTTCTATTACGTTGAGAAGTACAATGTGCTGATATATTCACAAAGAGTCACCAAAATGCCAGTACAATCAATAAAATATTCTGAATTGCTGTGCAAACACAAGATAAGCAGTTGTGCCATCACAAGTTTAAGTTTAGAAAGTAAATAGAAATAACTATACATATATCAATAAATTTAGTAAAACAAAAAGCCGTTTTCCTTTCAAGGCAAAATTAGAGCCAGTATATTTTCTAACATGATGTTCACTAAAAACATTTTATAACTTATAGTCATGACGGAAACCAGGCACATTTGTGTAGGGACTATAAAAAGGAAGGCTATAACTACATAAAGGATTGCAAGAATTAAATAAGCCTTAAAGACAACATTTGTAAAAGGCTTACAAGAAACTATGTGTCTGAATGTGATCCTCTTCCACGCTATCACTGACACTTCTTTGCTCTCTTGCCCAATTCTGCCTTTTGTCAGCAGTCAATGAAAAATATTTTTTACTGTTCACTTCTCATGCAGTAGTGTTAACCTCTGTATCATGTCACCCTGAGTGTTGGCTTCACCATTTTATTGATTGACAAAAATCAACCGGTTTTGTCAGCTGATTGTTTTGCTCAACCAGTCAGTCAGTTTACAAGAAAAGTCACTGTTGTTTTATCACCTATTCTTCGCATCCTGTACTGTTTTCAGTTTCCTTTAGTTGGGCTGTGTTATGGCTCATAAGTAGTGGCAAGAATCTCCTAACAAAGAAATAGGAGTTTTTTAAAAGATTGAGTATTTAAATATACAGCATTTAAAAGAACATAAGTATATTAATAAAGGTAACATTCTGGAAGAAAATCAGAGGAAAACCATTCCCAAACCTAACCCTAACCCTAACCCTAACCTGGTAGTAAAATTTATCTTAAAAATTGTTTCCAAAACAGTACCTATGAAAAGAATCCTAAAAACTTTCACAGAGGGGAGGAGGAAAGCATTCATATAAAGGACTAGAGACTAGAATGATATTAGATATCTCAAAAGAAAAATTGTAAGCCAAAAGAAAATAAAGCAATTTTTTTAACAAGATGGCAAATTTTCTAAAATTTTTCTAGCTAAGAAAGCCAATCAATCTATAAATTAACTGTCAGTGTAAAATAAACATACTTTCATAAATGTAGGATCTCGCAAAGTTTACATAAACTCAGGAAAGTTTTCTCCAGAATCTTATTGGACACAGTAAGGAATAAGGAATTTACTTTCATTGCAAAGACCTGTCATTGGAGGATAACATAAATCCTGAATCCTAAAAATTTTATGACCTTTGATTTCATATCTTGGTTCTACTTGGAGTCTAAAACAAGGAAATAATCATAGATGGAAATAGTGATTATTAGTGATATTCATTAAAACACTATTTGTAGTGAGGGGTGTTTGAAAACACCCCAAATTGTGTAAAACTGTGATTAAACAATTAAATATGCTGTACTTCATAGAGAAATATGATGCAGTCATTTTAAAATTATGTTTTCAATTTTTTAATTTTATAGAAGAGTATTTAAAATAATCACACTACTAAAAGTATAAAAAATTACTTTCAGTCACTAGGGATAAGACATTAGTCACTACTGATTAATGAATAATATTCATGATTTTTCTTACTTTATTTTCCATACTGTTTGCAATGAGCAATTATTCACAGAAAAAAACATAATTTTTTTAAAATTTTTCTGCAAAAGTAAATAACAACCCATATTCTTTTAATCTTTTCCTATGGAGCTCAATTTCTCTTCCTTTACTTCTAATATAGAGAAATGTCTAGTTATTTCTAAACAATGCTTTCAAATGCTTTTCTCTTCCTCCACTTCCTACATTCTTAAATTCATATGATAAAAATGGAATCAGTATTCTAATGCTGGTCTGGACAGAGCCATATAGCGGAAGGATTAATTATCACCTCCTATGTGTCATACTTCCAGTAATTCCTATTTGTCTCAGGTTCTTTTTTAATTATACACTACGTTGCTGATTCATTCCTAGTGTATGGCTTGTTTGGTTTCTGCAGTGCTTTCCTGATCCAGGATTACTCCATCCTTTGCCTGGCACTGACTTGCATTTATTTCTCCCAGGCCAACCTTCATTCTTGCTGATCACCGTTTGGGTCACCTTTGAAATCTACCCCTAACCTTCAAGGTTGGGGAATGCCACTCAAGTTAGTGACACTAGGAAAATGTGATGAACATATCAAAGTCTTTATCTAGATCAGTGTTTCTAAAAGGTGATTCTGACACTAATCATCTTGTGCTGGTTAAACATGCAGATAAATAGGGTGTGTGCCAGACCCTAAGCCAAAACCTGTGGAGGCAGAATGGCAAACTGTGCATCCTTTAACAGCTTGGCAATAGTTTATAATGCATGTTCAGATTCAAAAATCATGAAATCTAGGTTATTATAAAATGAATTTCACATATTTTTATATCCACCATGGCTGATAAGACATTTTTAAAAAACTGCCTGGTTCTCTCTCCCCACATTTCCTCTCTTTCAATCAACCTGGAGATCCAGGCCTACCCCAAATTCTGGATGGATTGTGCTCTTAGCTTACTGCTAGCCAAAACAGATTCAAGAAGCTTACCAAATCCCATATAGGACCTTCCTAAAGAATCATTTCATTTGTATGTCTTTGTCAAAAAGACAACGCATCATTATGGAGAACAGACCAATGGTTGTCAAGAATCAGGGGAGAGAGTATGACTAAAATATGGACAGCATGAGAGGGTTTTTTGGGTGATGGAATATTTCTATATCTTGATTTTTCTGATAACTACACAGACATATTCCAGTTTTAAAACTTGTACATGACTTTACTATGTGTTGATTTCTAAATGTTTTTAATCTGACTTGACAGAAAATTTTCTTACATATATAAAATACTCCATTTGTTTTGATGATCTTGATTATACACTTGAATAATGTTAAATTTTTCAGAGAGCCCTACATCTATTACATCATTTTGCTGCCTATACAAATGCATTATCCTGGATTAGCTTTTATGTTGCTACATAGGCTTACATTGGAAGAGATTATAAGAAACAGACATTAGAAACTCATTATAATGTTAATATTGGAAGTGTTCTTAAAATGATATATAATAATAACAGTAACATCTTTTAGAAAAAGCATTAACAGTTAATTCAGTGTACAGTTGAATTATGCATGAATGCACAGTTAGGGACCCAGGAGGATGTGGATATTACACAGGGGACTGTCATTTTGGTCAAGTTTAATCTAATGCAGTAAATTCTGCCATTTCTCTTCCATGTCCATTTTGTCAAGTTTGGTGGTTCAGGAATAAACCAGAATGTGAACTACAACTTACTGTAAAGAAAATTCACCTTTCTTGACCTTTTGTATTTAAAGGTGTTTTAAATGTATTTTTCATCTTCCTTCATGCAGTCCACTGAGAATACTCAAGAGAATAACCTTTTCTTAGCTTGCTGTGTGAGACATATACCACTGTAACATCACTGGGATTTATTTTAATTCACAACTCTGTCCTTTCGTTAGCAATAGTTTAACCATTGAATTCATACCATGGATTCAAGAAAGTAGCCATACAAACCAAAAATCAAACTTAAAATAGAATATAATGGACAAAGAAGGGATATAAATTTTAAGATTTCTTCTGTACACAAGTTGTTCTAGTTGGCATTGTCAACCTTGAGAAGACAACAGGAAACTGGAGAGTTTTCTTAAAAAGTCAAAAGCTTATTGAGCCACTTAACATATTGGAGATTAAAGAGGTTATGGCTAATTTTAATCCCCAGATTTGTCATTCAAGACTATAATATGAACAAAAGAATGAAAGAAGAGTCCATGTACATTCACCATGCACCGCTTACTTTTGTCTTAAATCAATATCCCTCCAGTAGATAGAATGCTTATAATAGCAAAATATTACCTCACTGCAAAATGCAGAAGGGAAGTATATCCACAAAGAATGAATCAACAGAACACAACAGAACACAACAAAACTGAAAAGTCACACTTACAGGCTAAAATAAGTATATTTATTAGAATAGGGAAATCAATGAAAAATTCAACCAGAATTTAGGGGGAACATGAAAATCAAATATACTGCACTAGGGCATTGGAAATCCTAAGGGACGGTACTCTATCGAGAGAAATTAAGGCTTCAGTTAAAGTTCAGTTCACAAAGTTTATGATCACCCTACTCTGCATAGTTCAATACATAGAGAATCTGAAGTCCACGTTCTATACTCTGGAAGGCTGTCAGTACAATATTGCTTCAAGTTTGGTTCAGAGGGACACAGATTATTGTACAGTTCATGTGGTTAGAAGTTGATTAATAGAGGTCAAATGTCCAGTATCTTCTGTAGTCAAATGGGCGGAAGCCACCATAGCCATATCCGAAGCCGTATCCCACTGGGGAATAGGTGCTACCATATCCACAGCCAACACTGTAGCCCAGGGGGTATCCCCAACTGCCCCAGTAGGAACCTGGGTAGATGCCCTCACTGAAGAAGCCACAGGACATTTTTGTTAAGAGATGAGTGTTCAGTGGCAAAGACCACGTTTCCGGGGAATGACTTGCTCCATCTGTCCAAGCCTTTTATACACTGCCACTAAGGGGTGTGGCAACAAATACCCACCCTTGTTCCTACGCTTTTTCATTACTCTTTAAAATTGTTTGAGGATGACTGACTACCTAGTGTTCCTTGAATTAGTTTAGACCCTATAATGGGGAAGCCACTGAAGAGTCATCAAACTCTTTGGTAAAAGCAGATTCCCAATTTAACCTTCAAAACTCAGGCTTCCAAACAACCAGAAATATTCTTACTATATTACCTAGCATGGCTTGTGAGATTTCAGGCATTTTCTGACCACAAAAGGGGCTCTTAATGCTATCTAAACTCTGTGACTAAATATACCAGAGATTGCTCTCCCAGGAAACTTCTGATGTATGATTGAGCCCTTTGTAGATGTTTTCAAAACTAAGGCAAATCTCTAGTAGTCATATCTCATGAGATATAGACATTTTTATTTCTCATTGAGAATCTATTCCACAATTTAACTGAAATTATTTTATGTTCAATGATCACTTGATATTTATCAATGATGAGGAAACATATTTTTATGTTTATTGAGTAATCAGTTTTTTTAGAATAGCCACTACATTCAACTAAACTTTTAATGAATTTTCAATGTCTTCACTGTTCCTCCTTTGTTATGGAATAATGAACCATGTTTAAGTTCTAAGTTTATTAAAAATAGCCTTGATGCTAACCAATATCTACTATACATGAGAAAATAAGTAACTGGAAGAACAGAGTACTTCACAGGGTCAACCAACTGAGATAAATTACAAATGTAGTTTCCCTCATGTTTCTCACAATAACCCACCCTCAAGAAACATGACTTTGCATGATTAACTATCAGCTTGTACTGAGAATGAGAAGAATAAGTCATAAATGTGTAACATTTAAAAAAAAAGAAATGTAACATTAGCCTTTCAACAGAAATTTAAAGAATTTCTGAACCTGCTTTCCACCTTACATGTATTTAAATCATTAAACCAATGGGTTTTCACTTATTTCTTCCTTAGGATATGATCAATATTGTCAGAAAAATACCCATTAAGCTGAATGAAATAAGAAAAAAACTAGATTATTTTATCAAAGTACAAATTTAACAAAACTATAGCAATTCTTTCAAAGGATACTTTGAAAATTAAAAATTTGAAAATGTTTTAAAAATTGTTCAGGACACATTTTAAAGATGATAGTTCAGTTCAGTTGCTCAGTCATGTCCAACTCTTTGCGACTCCATGAACCGCAGCACATCAGTCCTCCCTGTCCATCACCAACTCCCGGAGTCCACCCAAACTCATGTCCATTGAGTCAGTGATGCCATCCAACCATCTCATCCTCTGTCATCCCCTTCTCCTCCTGCCCCCAATCCCTTCCAGAATCAGGGTCTTTTCAAATGAGTCAGTTCTTCACATCAGGTGGCCAAAGTACTGGAGTTCCACTTTCAACATCAGTCCTTCCAATGAACACCCAGGACAGATCTCCTTTAGGATAGACTGATTGGATGCATCCAGTCAGTTGGATCCAGATGCCATCCAAAGATGATAAAGCCAACTTTGTTCAAGGAAAGCTACTACAGTGTAGTCATACAGGTTTTGTAATAGTATAGAGAGATTGGGCTCAACTTTGAATACAAGGAAATGTGGGGAATGTGCTCCTCTTACCCAAGAAGCAAGGGAGAATCAGTGGATGGAAAATTACTAACAGAAAATATTAAGGCTAAAAGGAGAGAGGGCTGATTTCAGGCTAAACCGATCTAACAGGATTCTTACTGAAATCAGTTCCAGAGAGATCAGACAGGGAGATGGCGGAAGATGAGAAATCAGATTATGTGTTGAAGGTGATCAGACACTGAGGTTGGGAGAGTGGGAGGAAGGGTTCTGGTTTAGCTAAATTAGCAGATTTCTTGCTAAAATTGGTTGATGCAGAGACAAACACAGAAAACCAAAAGTCAGAGCCTAGCTGAAAATAAAGTTCAGTAAAGCCTGATTAGAGTGTGATCAAGGAGAAAATCTTTGTCAGATAATGAGCCTCTTTCCCTGCCCTTTATTTCCTTCTTCACTGGCCTCCTACCTCTAGGCTGTGCAGTTTTGCATAGATCACTCACCTCTTCATTTAAGGCAGAACATTGAATCAGTTTTTACATTTACAAAGAATTGTGCTGAAAAATACCCTATAATTGGTATCTCTAAAATTCTAAGAGACACAGTTGAATGCAAGTCACTGAGAATGCTGGGGGATGTGAAATTGCTGCATGACATCATTGCTTCATCCTATCAGTAGATCCTGACTATATGGCATCCACAGCCCACTCCTCCATCTCAGGAATAGGTTTCTGGGCTCATAATCACCATACTCGTGAAATCTCTTGTGACTATCAAAAAACAAGAAAACTAAACAGTGCTATTTTCAGATTTGAACAAGAGACTTTCAAAGAATCTCATTGCCATGATTAGGGATTCTTTAATTGGAAAATAACATCTTGTCTTTTCATTCCTGTGACATTTATCTGGGACTCAATATAAGCCCAATGCTGTGCTTTATTTTGGGGACACAGTGGTGAGCAAGACAGATAATAGCCCTTTATAGAGCACACAGTTCTATAGAATGCAATTAGAGTCGACTCTTGTTAGTGGGAGGCAGGCAGAAAGGGTTCAGCATCAAACACAACCAGATTAAAAATCCAGTTCTGCCCCTCTCTGGGTTTGAAACCATGAGAATATCATTGAACTGTTTGAATTCCAGCTACCTCTTGTACAAAATGAGGATAACAGAATCTAGAACAAAACCAAAGCCACGGGGTTGTAAAGAAGAGTAATGTATTACGAGCCTAGGAATAAATTAAATATTACTTCTTTTGCCTAATCATTTTTATGATTGAAATGAATGAAAACTCATACTATGCTCAAGAAGATAACCTCATCTAAAATCTCAACCTCACTTTAGAAGTTTTAGTGTGGTAGGAGAGCAATGGGATAAAAACATGCTTACCAAACATTTAGTTCAAAAGTTATTGTGCTCTTCTAGGATGCACTAGGGAGCTGGTGGCTCAGTTGCAAAGAACCTGCCTACCAATGCAGAAAATGCAAGAGACGTAAGTTCGACCCTGGGTCAGGACAATCCCCTGGAGAAGGAAATGGCAACCCACTTCAGTTTTCTTGCCTGGGACATCCCATGGACAGAGGAGCCTGGCAGGCTACAGTCCACGGGGTCATCAAGAATCAGACACAGCTGAGCAACTGAGCACAGGATATACACAGGGTTGGCTGGGTGGTTGGATTTAAGTAAAACTCACTTGCACGGTTGCCATCGTAAGGCCATGAGTTGAACATGCCCACTGGACAGCAACTATCACATTTTGTATGGCTCCTTTGACTACAGGAGAAATGAGGGAAATCAAAAATCAGAGCCATGTAAGCATGAAACTTTTCCATGTTCTGCTTTGCTTCCTGTGTCTAAAGTTTTGGACAAAAGAGTGAGCAAAATCTTCTTTGTTTTGTTTTGTTTTCATTTATTTTTATTAGCTGGAGGCTAGTTACTTTACAATATTGTAGTGGTTTTTGCCATACATTGGCATGAATCAGCCATGGATTTACATGTGTTCCCCATCCCATCCTTCCTTCCACCTCCCTCCCCATCCCATCCCTCTGGGTCTTCCCAGTGCACCAGCCCTGAGCACTTGTCTCATGCATCCAACCTGGACTGGTGATCTGTTTCACCCTTGATAGTATACTTGTTTCAATGCTGTTCTCTCAGAACATCCCACCCTCGCCTTCTCCCACAGAGTCCCAAAGTCTGTTCTGTACATCTGTGTCTCTTTTTCTATTTTGCATATAGGGTTATCATTATCATCTTTCTAAATTCCATATATATGTGTTAGTATACTGTATTGGTCTTTATCTTTCTGGCTTACTTCACTTTGTATAATGGGCTCCAGTTTCATCCATCTCATTAGAACTGACTCAAATGAATTGTTTTTAACGGCTGAGTAATATTCCATAGTGTATATGTACCACAGCTTCCTTATCCACTCATCTGCTGATGGGCATCTAGGTTGCTTCCATGTCCTGGCAATTATAAACAGTGCTGTGATGAACACTGGGGTGCATGTGTCTCTTTCAGATCTGGTTTCCTTGGTGTGTATGCCCAGAAGTGGGATTGCTGGGTCATGTGGCAGTTCTATTTCCAGTTTTTTAAGAAATCTCCACACTGTTTTCCATAGCGGCTGTACTAGTTTGCATTCCCACCAACAGTGTAAGAGGGTTCCCTTTTCTCCACACCCTCTCCAGCATTTATTGCTTATAGACTTTTGGATAGCAGCCATCCTGACTGGTGTGTAATGGTACCTCATTGTGGTTTTGATTTGCATTTCTCTGATAATGAGTGATGTTGAGCATCTTTTCATGTGTTTGTTAGTCATCTGTATGTCTTCTTTGGAGAAATGTCTGTTTAGTTCTTTGGCCCATTTTTTGATTGGGTTATTTTTTTTTCTGGAATTGAGCTGCTGGAGTCGCTTGTATATTTTTGAGATTAATTCTTTGTCTGTTGCTTCATTTGCTATTATTTTCTCCCATTCTGAGGGCTGTCTTTTCACCTTGCTTATAGTTTCCTTTGTTGTGCAAAAGTTTTTAAGTTTCATTTGTTTATTTTTGCTTTTCTTTCCAATATTCTGGGAGGTGGGTCATAGAGGATCCTGCTATGATTTATGTCAGAGAGTGTTTTGCCTATGTTCTCCTCTAGGAGTTTTATAGTTTCTGGTCTTACATTTAGATCTTTAATCCATTTTGAGTTTACAAAATCTTCTTTGGATAAGCAAAATTCACTTTGAATAACTTTACCAAATATCAGTGCCATCCATTGATTCTTCAGTATTTTACATTTATGTTCTTTTAGCATCTTCAGCAAGTGAAGAACTCTGGCTTATAAGGTATCTGACACCTTCCTTAGG